TAATCTCATGGCTGCAGCCACCATCTGCAGTGATTTTGGAGCCCCCAAAATAAAGTCTGTCACTGTTTCCATTGTTCCATCTCTCCTAATATCTCACCAGTTATGGTGTCTAAGTCTTACTCATCTCTGAGGTCTCAGGACAGTATTCCTGCCCATACAGTATGTGCTCAATGAGAGGTTTTTGGCCAAAAGTGATTCTAATGTCACCGATATGACAGATTTGTGAAAAGTGGCTCTATTCTTCTGGGCTGGAGATACACAAGGTTTGAGAATTCTAATAGATTCATGGCCTTAGCTGCGCATGACTGAGGCCCCCAGCAATGAGGAAGACCTCTAGAAACTATTCTGTCTAGGATAATACTGCCCTAGACTTCATAACAATGCAGCAGAAACATTGAGGTTACAATATTCAGCAGTGTTACTTCTAGATGGAGAGGGAGATAATAAGTAGGTAGAGAAGGGGTAGATAGGCATATAGATAGACAAAAAAATTAGGTAGATATATATAGGTAGGAAGATAGAAATAAACAGATATATGAATATATGTGACTGTTTGGGATATACCATCCTCCAATCCTTTCAATTTAACCAAAGAAAACAAAACAGTAAAAGGTGATACTATGGATAGGCATTTGAGTCCAGTGAATAGTGTGTGAAAATGAGAAACAGCAGAACAAAAAGCACTCTATTAACTGGGGAAGTGGTCTAGGCACGATACTCTCATCTTGGTTCTACAAACAGACCACACTTCTTGCAAAGGGTTTTGCTTGTACTACTTCCAGGACCAATAGTGTAATAAAGGTGAAATTGGTGAAGGAGAGAAAGAGGTGCAGTGACAGAGGGCATTTACCTCTAAGGTGGAAAAGAGGCATTCCTTCCACTTTAAGCAGCTTCTTCTCAACTCAAAACTATACGACAGACAAAACAACCATCAGAACTTCCTTCTGGTTCTCACCTGGGCTCTGCTCATCAAGGACATCATGACAGACAGACAGACGGGCAAGATAGATAGGCAGGCAGACTGAACAACCTTCTCTCCAAATTCTTTGACTGTCCTCTTTCAATTTAAGTTTCCCCAACTTCGCCAGTGGCTTAGACAGCCAAAAATCTGTCTGTAAATGAAGGAGACCTGGGTTCGATCCCTGGGTTGGGAAGATCTCCTGGAGAAGGGAAGGGCTACACACTCCAGTATTCTTGCCTGGAGAATCCCCATGGACAGAGAAGCCTGGCGGGCTACAGTCCCTGGGGTCACAAAAGAGTCGGACACGTCTGAGTGACTGAGCACACAATATAATCAATATAACACAAGATAATACAATGCTGAGATACCAAATAAAACACATGAAGAAAAGCTAAGGTTAGAGATAGCAGGAAGTGGCCAGCACTTTTAGGCTGGGGGTGGGGGGTGGGGTGGAGGGGTGGTGCAATTTTCTGTCAAGCTCCAGATAGTAAGAATTAAGCTCAGACCCAAGTACTCTGCTCGGCCCTGCCCACCAGCGGCAGTGCACACACCGCTGAGCACAGCGACATTCCCACCAAACTGTATTTGCAGAAGCAGATACAGGGCTGGATTTTGCTCTCAGGCTGCAGTTCAGTGACCCCTGGGCTAGAGAGATAAAGAGTAAATGCTCGGGTCAGAGGTAACTGGGAGAAGCAGAAACCACAGCAGGGCTGGCTAGTGGAAGGGACAAAGACAGACACTATGTGAATCAGAGAAAGGGGAGAAAGACCCTGACTTCTCCCTCGTCCCACCCTGCAGCATCCTGCCCCTCCCTCTCAGCCAGTCAGAGGCCACCTGACAGAAGGACAGAGAAAATGCATCCTGCAGTGATCAGTCTCCGTGATAACGCAGGAACCCTGCTAAACGAACATGAAGCCAAACACACCAAAAAGTGAAACCACTAATCAACTAATTTCATACCGAAAAAAATGTTGCCCTATACAAGGATGTCTTTTACCTTAAATGGCTGTCATATAACTGCATAAAACAATAGGTCAAAAGAGGAGCCATATGACAGTAAAAACTTATCTCGGTGCAAATTATCTAAAATAAAGAAAACCCATAACTCAAAGGGCACGTGGTCATCCATAATACTGTCCCAAATGAAAGGGGGGTGTGTAGAGTTGGAGGTTTTCTGAATACATCAGTGACCTGCCAATTCCACTTTTTATCATCGTGTTTCTATCCCATTAGACTATTTGACATGAGAGAACTGCTGTTAATTTTCTAGCTCTTTAACTGTGATATACATTAGAGAGGAGGAAGGCATGGAAATAGATCTATTCGCAGAAAAGATTATGCAAGGGAAACATCTGAAAAGAAGCAACTCTCTGATTCAGGCCCTTTTAGATCAGATTTTCAGTTCTGCTCGCTTAAAGGTAAACAAAGGCTTTTGCATGAAAGCTAGAAGTACTTTCACAGGCAATCTCTATGTATTCACTGTATTAAAACCAAGGTCAGTAACAAAACCAAGGAAATGGGGTATTCCTTGGTATTCCAGTGGGTAGGACTTTCTGTTTTCAGGGCTGAGGACACACGTTCAATCCCTGGTCGGGGAACTAAGCCCACAAGCCACATGCTGCAGCCAAAAAATATATATACATATATTCAAGGAAGGCTTTAGAAGACAGTCCACAAAGACTGCCACTCTGGGTGATACAAAATTATACACAAGACTGCCACTCTGGGTGATGCAAAATTATCAATTTATGAGCTTAAGAAGCAGTTATTTAAATAAAGTTATTATAAGAGTAGGATTGAGGTGAAAGAGTCAATGACATTTTATAGGTAATATATCACTTAGAACTAGCAAAATTTTATATACTCAGATTAAGTAATCTTCTTTATGTTAAATTTCTGCTTTCTAATTTTTAAATGGAAATCCTAAAAAAGCAGTTTATAGTTTAAAACTACCAAGAGAGACTTATCAGGGTATTTTAACTACTTTTACAGAGAGTTAATCACAGACTATAGATTTTCCCTGTGACTCACTTTTATGAGCTAAATTAGAAGTTATCTCACTTTCCCCTCTATAACTGCAGACTCTAAGTAGCAAAAAGTCACCCTAACAATTGAAATTCTGCACCAATACATAAATTGCATCTCTCATACATGATCATAAGTAGCTTTCAATGACCTCTATTCATCAACAGTTTTATGAAACACTGTACTAGGTGCAGGCATTTATTAAGTCTCTGAGCCCAGTGCCCTGAAATCAAAATTCAAGAAACTACAACGAGAGGGAAAAAAGAAGACAACAGCTCAGTGGTAAGACACAACTCCGCAGTACAGATATAAATACTGCTCTCCAGGATCCTGTGTTCCTTTCATATTTTTGATATCTTTATCCTGGCCGTCAACATTTTTTCTCCCCTCTTCATTCCTTGGGCCATTCTTCCTAACCTCTCCTGTCCTCCCTAGACTCCAATATTCCCCAAGCTCACAATTTTTCTTTCGAGCCTTTATGTTCTTCCACAAACTGCCAGCGCTCGTCCACAGGCCGGAGCTCCCTAACTAAAGATGGTTATTGATGTACAGTACCAGTGCTTTAGTGCAGCAGCAGAATCAATAAACGAGAAAATACTGCTTTGTCAGGCTTCGCCGGAGCATGCTGGGAAACTTTACTGCTCTGGATGGTTACAGCAACGCTTAATACGCGAAAGGGAGAGCCAGCTCCCTTCTGCGGAGAGAATGATGTTCTCCTACCCTCTAGTGACTATAAAGGAGTAAGACAAAAGTTGGAGGGATTTCTGAGACAGCTTCACATGATTATTTACTGCCTCTTAATTTTATTTCTAAAAAGAACCAGAGTTCTGAAAACCCAGTGAACAGGTAGGATTAAAACAAAGCTAAATTAAAAAAAAAAAAAAGCAAAAAGCTTAGCCTGGTTATTTTTAAAGGGCTCCCAAAATGCAAAGGATATACATTTTAGGAAGAGTCAGAACTTTGATTCCTCTGGATTTTAAAAAGCAAGGCTTAGAAAGTTTGCCTTCCTAAATGACTAGTCAGGTTACAAATCTCTCTCTCACACATACACATGCTCTTATAATGCACAAAATCTTTGTTTCAATCTCCTTATTTTACAGCGAAGTAAAACAACTACAGGTTAGAAATGAGAACTGGTATACATCTGTGTACAGGTGTGTGTGTATAAATAAATGCATATACAGAGCTTGCCCATGCACCCGCCCCTAGCACACAGACCCATCATGGGCACCTCCATCTTAATTATTCCTCTTCTGAAAGCAGTAGAGCTGCCAAAGTAAGTTATACAGAGGTTTTTTTAATTTGATTACATTTAGTGAATTTTGACATTTAGTCACTTCAGTGACAACGTATTACCTTCAGAACCTGATGAATTGATAACACATCCCTACCTTAAATTGCATAGAACTATTTTTCATGGAGAAATCTTTAAAGAAACAAAGAAACACTTACAAAAACAAACAAATAAATGGTAAAATAGAAATAGTATAAAAAAGATTTATAAAATATACCACATATTCCTCTCAATCTTTTCATTGCCCTTATAGCACCAAAATTAGCTTCTACCTAATGGTAAATAACTTTCTAAAGGACTAAGTCTAATGCACTGCAGCTACAAATAATTCAAGCTTAATGAAGTGCAACATTCTTTTTTTTTTTTAATTTATTTATTTAATTGGAGGCTAATTACTCTACAATATTGTAGTGGTTTTTGCCATACATTGATATGAATCAGCCATGGGTATACATGTGTCCCCCATCTTGAAGTGTAACATTCTAACATGGCTGGCACATATAAAAGTTCACCTCTAAAACAAGCGTAAGTTCTAACATCTGGCTATGCTGTTATTAAATGAAATTTAAAAGAGAGTATGTTTCCTTTTTATTCATATCAGCAGTCAGAGGGGATAAAAGCCTTTACATGGAAAGGTTGGATAGCATCAGTCATGTCTACATTTGTCTTTGCTACAAAGATGAACCACATGATGAAAAGAAAGAAAACAGCTATATTTACCTTACTGGCACTTAACCGCTTCCGATTCGACCAACGCTAAGGATTACGTCCATTGGATGGTGAAAACAGCAAAATAAAAGAGAGAAATGCAGCTGTTAACAACATGATCGTGTTATTATGCTAGTTAGATGGCGCAGACTGCATTCAAACCACTGACACCCACATTCTCAGGTTAGAGAAAACACACAGAACAAGAAGAGCTAGAAACCTAGGAAAATCACATTTCCATGGCTGTGTTACACCATTTTCTCACAGTATTCAAAAACGAAAAAAGAAGGACACATGACACTACTCAGTCCTTACAAGACACATTTATGTTTTTATTTACCTGAAAACACTATAATTTTACCTCTAAAAGCAAAGTGGAAAGGCAGATTTCTCCTACCTGAAACACTCAGAGTGCATTATGAAAATGTTTAAGAAGTTCATGGACAAAGTCAGTTCATGTTTAAGTTTCTGTAGTCTTAGATACAGGGGAAAAAATCATTCCATTTCCCTCTGCTGAGTAAATCTCAATATTCAAAATAATAGGAAAAACAATGGGAGTCATTCCTGCACAGTTAAGAAAAACAAGCTAATGCAGCAGTCAGGGAGGGAAGGAAAAAAGTATTCTGGACAGCCGGTATCCTCACCATTGTTCTCTTTTTGATCTTTCATTTGTTGAGCTAAGGCTGCTGAATTTTGTCCATAATTAAAGTTCTCTCCTAACAAAATCCCTCATTACCCCTGTCACCGTCCAGTACTGCAAAGCTCTATTCTGGCTGGTTAACCAGCTAACTGGATAAATTTGGCAGATTATAACTCAATTATGCATCTAATTGGGCAGCTCATAGTAACTATTATGATTAAGGGAAAAAAAAAAAAAAACTTTAGGCAAATAACCTATCTGCTTTGTCAATACACCTCCCCAATATATTACAAACCAGAAGACAAATCATCTCTGGGGGAAGTTCACTTATATTCCAAGGACCAACACCTAGAAATGTTGGTACAGAAATATCTTGAAAATATTCTTCAGTAAAAACACTGCCTCTGGAGACACTGTGAGCTCAGCCACTCAGCATGTGACCCAGAGTTATAGACACTCCAACCTGGGTGTTAAAATCAGTTCTTTTTGCATTTTCCCAACATATGGACAAATATTTTCACCCAGAACAAGCACTAAAATTAATCACTGTCTTGTAAATACACATGGCTATTTCTAAACAGTCTTTTGAAATATAATTCATTTGATTTTTATATCCCCAAAGACTAAAAAATAGATAAGAAAATTAATGGAAAATGAGTACCACTGTTTGCTCACTATAATACTAACACTACCTTATATCAAGTGTCTGCTCCATGCTAAGCACTATTTTTGGTCATCGTGATCTTCACAAACCTATAAAATAGATTTTTTTTTAATCCTTATTTCACACATGAGGAATTTGTAGCTGTGAGAGGTTAAGCAATTCTGTGAATCTGACCTGATCACTTAACTTCTCAAAACTAAAAATAGTGGAGTTGGGATTCAAACCCAGGCAGTCTGATGACAGAGCCCGTAATTGTAACTATAATCCAATTTTGTCAAAAAAAAGAGACAGAAGGCAGGTTCGTCAGTGCTCCAGCCAGGGTCTTACCTTCTAACTGCACCATGCCCATACGCCCTGGCCCTGAGGGTCAATTCACAGACATTTTGCACATTTTAAGGTTTTTATCAGCTTGACTCTAAAACAACAAACACTGCCTCAATGACCACCAGGTACAGAACTGTGAATTCAAACTGAAATCTCTCCATCAGGTTTTAAATTAAAATGGAAATTTATAAACAAATTATTTCCAAGTAATCCCAGTCTCCCCTGTTAGTTATTCCCATTAAAAAACCCTAATATATCTTTAAATACTAACTTAAACCCAAGGAAAAGAACGAGTGTTTTCTGATATCTACTCTATCCAAAGAGCCCCCGATATTCATGCTAAATTGAATAGCCACACATGACCCAGGATGAATTATTCCCTGCTCAGCTGTACTCTGAACAAGTATATCAATGGGAAAATTACACTACCAATCAGAACAAATAGAACAGGAATTGTTAATTATCATTATTATACTCCATTTTAGTTATATATTTGCTATTTTTCAGTCACTATGTCCAACCCTTTGCAACCCATAGATTACATATATATATATATATAAACACACATACATATAGTAATATATACATGCATAATATATATGTACACATGTATATACATGCATGTACATATACATAAAAGTACACAAACATATAGTAAATATAGTGTGCCTGAGAGCCCCTGCCAAACAAGTAAAGAACAAAGAAAATGAAAAATCATATCAAGTAGGTAATGCATACAGCCTGACAAACTTTCAAAAACAGGGGGTGGGGGAGTCAAAGGAAAGAAGGACCAAACTGAGTGAGAAGTGTCTCTCTTTTCACTAAATGCTCTGAATAGACAGGCTTTGAGATGTTTTCCAAAAACAAACTCAAGCAGCATTGAGTATTAATTGCTCTGCAACTTGAAATAAACTTTAACTGAAATGGCTCTCTTTAAAAACTTCAAATATTGGCAATATTTCAACATATTTTAAATGCCAGTAGTATTGCTAAATATGATCCGATACACTACAGAAAAATCCACAAGTGGAATAAACAGGCTGTTATTATGTAGCTCTCTTCATGAGGTCATTATCCAAATTTACAAACCCCATTTAAATATGTAAGAAATTTTCAGAATATACCAGCTGGCAACTGGGCAACCATGTGGCAAACACAATGCTCATCTACACGGCATGTCATTTTAACCCGGCATCCAGCTCATGGAAGCAGTCACCTACTGGATGCACGGACACTGAATTCAATGGCAAAGCCATCAAAACTATGAGAAGCTAAAGGAAATCCCTCCATCATTAGGTTGTATGGAAAAGTATTTTCAACATCAATGTAAGACATTTTAACATCAAAGTATCAGTGCTATTGAGGCCTCAGGTTTTAACCATGCCACTTCTTCATTAATATATGGAGATCACTTTCCCGAAGTTATTGTCAAGTAAATGCTCATAAGTAAAGAATTCAAATTAAAAATAACAACTGTGCAGTTGACCCTCTGAAAAGTCACTGTTCAGTTTTTTGTGTTTTTCTTTAACTCCTTTAAGCTATCTTCAGTAAGTTCACTAGTAAATCACTCATGATTTTCATCAGGAAAATAAATTACAGCCAACAGCAAAGGTGATGTCAAAATGAAGAATACTCCCCACACTGACCCCAGTGACTCAATTCAAGAAGTATTATTGGAGGCCTAATTTAAAAACAGGCTTCAGATTTTCATACCAGATTCTATTAAGTTTAAATTTTAACATATCTTAGTCTTTTTTCAAGTAGCTGTTTCTAATTGGCTTTTAAAATACCTTTCGAATAAATTACAATCAAGGATGCTTTCATTCTCATTTTCATTCTTGGAATTGTAACATACAATACCCAAATATAAAATAAGATTATAGTTTGTATTCAGATATTTGCTCCTAAAAACAGAGTGCTGATCACACTGTCACAAAATCTAATGCTTTTTTCTGATGCTATAGATATCTTTAATAGGTAGTACATTAACTAGAAATTTCCATGTAACAGACCAGAGAATATTAAAATGTGTATCTCCTCAGAAGTACTCTCAATAGAAAATGTGGTAGCTAGGAGAAAAAGTTGAGATGGAAATGATGCATTGATCACCTTAATAATGTACGTACAGCACAATTATTAAATCCTAGAAATTGCTTTTCATAACTGAATAATGCCTAAGTCATCTAGTACTTAAGAAAATGGTAAATGGAAACAGTAACACTAAGTAAAAGTGATATTTTGGATGATGTGTTGCAAGTAAACCATAGCAGTGTATATATTTAATAACAGCAATACATTCACATCCCTAGCCAAAACAGAGATCATTCCTTAATGGGTTTTTCTTTCCAGATTTTCATAAGAAAGGCTGTACATTATCACAGAGAGATAACTTTAAGTCTTTATGCAATTCTTCCCCCTACTCAAATAATGACAAAAATGTCAGTCACCTGGTAACCCAATCATTAAAGAAAAATTTCAATGGAGAATTTTAAAAAGAACAAAAGGATCAGACTCACGTGTCTCTTGAAATCACACTGTTTTACTACTAGGTTCAAATTTAATACAATCACTCCCATGTCATCTTCTAAACTGTTTGGATCTTCCAATTTTAAGATATGCTCAGTCGTTCTAGAAGCAAAAGGCAACGAATGACATTAGCATTTATTGGGTTAGTAATTTTTGCCTTAGAATAAATACATCAGGTTCTTATGATAAAAATCTACCTCTAAATAGGCCTAAGACACAAGTTAAAGAGCACAACAAATTCAGTGAAAATAAACCAATTTTTCAGGGTCAAGAAATGCACTGCCTAACTCAACAGATGGTCAACTGATTCTTCTCCCCTACCGCCCAAGGAAAATGTAAATACTTGCTTTAATTTTAAGGTAAGTAGGTTAATGAACTTGAATATTAACAAATAGAAGTACAAAATTCACCCCTTTTAAATTATGTTCACACCTTTTAAATTACATTACGGAAGATTTAATGTCAGACCAATATATATTTGGAAGCTGAAAAGCAAAAGTCATAGAAAATCTCACATTTTAAAGCACTCTTTCATTTATTCAGATTTTTTTCACTTTATTATCTTGAGTTACCTCTAAAATTCACTAATCACAATTAGGTGGTAAAATTATAATACCTGTTAAGCTCAAGATCACTCAAAATGACAAAAGCAGAACCCATGAAATCAGATGTAGTTAAATCTCGATCATATACCTACAAAGAGAAGGGGGGCCAGTCATGCATTAATATGGTGAACAAATTGAGTATATCACAGTATAGATAAATGCAACAGACTGGGAATTTTGAGTTCAATCTTCTAGATCTAAGAATAATTTGCACAATATAGTTAAAGAAGAATTTAGCCAAGCTGGTGAAGAGACCAAAATTATTCAAACCTGTCCATTTTGCTTACTATGGCCAAAATAACAGAAAATACTTCTAAGGCAGTATTCATATGCATTAAGACATTTTTGCACAATGGACCACTCTGTAGTTTAAATGGTCTCTCATTAAAATTTAGTCTTTTCCACTGTGGGCAACTCTGCCAATTAAATAGAAATTTGCGAAATTTTCTACAGCAATCCCATCCTGTGCTCAACTCATGCAGTTTTAACCCAGATGTTAGAGCAATTGATGCTTATAACTGGTAGCTTAAAGCTCTATTAAGTATAAAGTTATTCCTAATGAGAAAGGCTTTAGTACTTGTCACCACTGCATTGGCAGTAATAATTCTTCCACATTCAGTAAGTTTAAATACAATCAATGGGGATATTATTTTCACTCCGATTGATCTGAGAGTAACATACAGTTTTGAACCAAGGGTATAAAGAATCCCTTCTACACATATTTTTTAACACAGTGCTTAGGAATTATACAAGTATGAATTTGGGTAAGTTGACTTTTAAGAAGGCAAAGATGGCTGAGAAATGAATATTTTTAATAAAAGAGGAGATCTGAACGTCATCTGGGATTACCTTCACACGCAGCTTTTGATCAAGGCTTTGAATTGGCAATACGACTATCTCGTCCCAGACTGGGTTCAAGTTCTTATATATGACTTTACTTTTGTACAGGGTCTTCCCATTCAGCTTAAACTTCACATAGGGATCACTCGTGCCTTTAACAAAAAAGAGAGCAGGACCAGTTTAAAAAATACACGTAGAAACCGTGGAATCTCCATTAATTAAAGATCCTTCCCACAATCCAGACTCAAAGCGTATTGCTGAGCACACCCAGAACAAATGTCTCCCTGCATAGAGACTAAGGGTTGAGAGTGGAGAGAAATGAAGCAATCTGGGGAAAGCGCTGATTCTTCCTTGCCTTTTGTAATAGAATATAAATGGGATCCTTGAACTTTCTCTGTGTGGTTTCATTGTGGGTATGTCATCACTCTCCTACCCACAAAAAATCCAAGACGTAAAATCCACCGGCACCAGCCACGGACGTCAGGGGTCCTGGAGAGAAGCCGACCCCGCCCAAGGATGGCCGTGAGTCAGAGAGAAGGGAAAGAAACTGTTTTCAAACATTTGGCCAGATGGCTGACTCGAGAGAACCCTGTACTTTAGAATACAATCATAATAAATAAATCAATCTCTGGAACCATCGGCTCAAAGGATGGGGCCAGGGGACTCACACTGGAACAGGGGCCGCAGAGATTAAGCCGACAAAGTTGCCATTCTTCGCCACCCCCCGCATCTGCAGCAAAGCAGAGAACGCTGTTCCCCCCGGCCAGCTGAACGCCCCTCGGCCAGGCCCTCAGCGGGCCCCGGGCTGACACCCTGACCTGCGGCCTCCTCCCGGGGAGCTTTGAAACAGACGCCAAGAGGAATGAATAATGTGCCGCCAGAGCCACTGTGTCCAAAGCAGAAAGAGGGACTGGTGACAGACCCTCCTCCACACTCTCGAGATCAACTGAGGAAAAAAAAAAAAGCCTGTAAATAAAATACCAGGATTTTGTGCTGTGCATGTGTGTTACACGCGCGCAAGTGTACCACCACACTCAGGGCACAGAGCACTCCCTGGAACATCCTTGCGCACTACCAGTCAATGAATGAGGAAGAAAGGAGGCAAGAATGAATGAATGAATAACCCATGAGGGCAAAAATGAAGGCCAGCTGATCATACTACAAAGAGAGGAAGAAAAAGCCTCTAATTTGGGGAGGTATGCTGGTATAATTCATTATGAACCAGACTCTGCATAAGTCTGAGCTCAGAGTCCAGCGGTCTGTTTTGTCCACTGACACATTCCAGGTGTCTTGGACAATGCCCAACAGAGGCCTCCACAGATTTACTGTCGTGAGTTCTTGATATTAAAGTCAAGCTGATAGGGTCTAAAAATATTACATCAAAAATTAATTAGGCTACTCTGTCACAAATATTTCCAACTCCTTATTATCTACCATGAATCATTTCAATCATTTCAATCTTTTTTTTTCCCCCCCCAGCTCTTTCCGAGGTTTCTGCGGGATGGAAAACTCCTGAACACAAATGCAATCCTTATCCCGAAGATTTTAACTGGCAGTCACGTCACTCGAGGGTAAAAGTCCTAACAGAGGAACCAAGGTCCCCGAGTGTTAACTCAGCCATTCCAGAATGGCAAGGCTGCTAACTTTAAAACAAAGAAATCCAATGACAGACACACACGGATGCATATTCAACTCCCACAGTTTAAGTCTGGCAACAAAGGCGCAGAAACCCAGCAGTCTTTATTTTGCTTTTTTAATTTTTCAATTTGTTTTTTAATTGGAGGAAGGTGGCTTTACAATGATGTGTTGGTTTCTGCCACACAACTCGAAGCAGTCATCACTATATAGACGAGCCTCCCCACCCTCCAGGTCCTCACAGGGAGCAGAGCTGGGCTCCCTGGCCTATACAACAGCCTCCCCCAGCTATCTTTTACACACCATCTTGTCCATATGTCAATGCGACTTTCTCAAGAACCCAGCAGTATTTCTTTCAAACCTGGACACATATGCATGCAGTTCTGAGCAGGAGAGCAAAAACGAAGGCATTCCCAGCCATTCAGTGGCCCAGTCACTAGTGAGGGAGTAATCCGTCCCACCTCCCTCCCTTTCACAGTAAAAGAGAACACCTCTGGCAAGTCAGATTTTAACAATCATTCTGATATATATATATAGATAAAAAAAAGAGGGGGGGACCTCTAATAAAAAGAGGCCTTTAATTAAATGAAATTGCCACTCTGGGATCAGGCCTTCATGCCTGTCAGCGTGCTCTCAAAATAAACACCTCACAAGCCGGCCTCGGTGGCGTGGCTTTCTCAGCGGCAAAGCACGCTGGGTAATCCCCAGGCATCTTGACAGCTACATAATGTTCAAACTGCTTCACGGGTGAATGGCGGCAGCGCGTGAAAGAAAATATTAATGTCTGGAATTAATAGAAAAAAGAGGACCGGGGTTTACAAAACCAAACAAGGAACCAGGGTGTCGAGTGAGCGCGGAGTTAATTGTTAGGGAAAAACTGAGAAACGCGGGGGTGGGGGCTTGGGGGGCACTCCGTGGTTTTTCTCTCAGCGCCTAAGTGCCTCGCTGTCAGGCAAGTGACATCTTAACTAGGCCGGTTCTGAAAAGGGGTCGCCGCTCAGGAATGCAAGGCCCGGATGATACAAATGGTGAGATGACACCTGAATGGGTGGACTTTAACCTTCCCCCCCCCCCCCCCACCACGGGGCGCTTCGTAAACAATGAGGCCTTCGGGAATAAAGAGGTGCTGTGGAACTTTAGGAGAATGAAACCGGGAGGCCTGAGACGAGGCGTCCACCCCGGGTTACCGCCCGCTCCGCCACGCGGACTCCCCGGGATCACACAGCCTCAGGTTTAGACCGTGCGAGCGTTAAGCATCCGTGGCCGGCGTTTCCCGCTCCCCTGCCAGCCATGCTGTGGTGGTGTGTGTGTGCTCAGAGAGGGTGTTGCCACTCCCTGCTCCTCCAGAAACGCTGCACCGAGTCACGCTCCTGACAACAGCAGGGCGGTCCCCATTTCTGCTCACGACACCCCGATGGGCACGTCTCTCATGTGACGTGGGCTACCATCACTCATGGTTGCAAACTCAGGTTGCCTCGGACCGCAGTCCACTGCTGGGTACCAAGGGGGGCTGCAAGGGGAAATCCAGCCAGAGCCTTTCCTTCAGCACCTGGCAGACAGCACACGCAAGGCATGTATATCACTAGGTCTAAGGTAAGTGTCAAAAGAGAACAGAGCTTGGGGGTTGGAGGCTCATTCACAGTGCTAACTGGGGTATCGGCGGAGGCTGAAATAGAGGAGGTGGGAATTGAAACGTGGGTGGATCTGGCCACACAGAGAAGGCCCAAGGCCATTTCGGCTGGAGGGATCGGCACTGAAAGGGGAAAGAGACTGGCAATTAAGAAATGCCTGAATTTGTGTGGTGTCCAGCAAGCATTTTAATTCATCCAAAAATTAAGGGAAAAAATGTTAATGAGAAAGCTAAAAAAAATCCAGTTTTGAATCAGAGACTAAAATGCCTTAAAATCACAAAATAAAAAGTTATGGTTTTGCTCTGTAAGAAATAAAGGGTGGTTTTGTTTTTCTTGTTCTTTTTTAATATAAAAATGTTTAAAAAGTGTAGTATACACTCATGATTCTGAAAGGTATGAAACGAAAATTCTCCACCCTCTTAATGTTTCCTCATTCCCATTCCTGTAACGCACCGGTTTCTAGACTGTTTTACAGGAAAAAAAATACAAGAATTGTTTTTAACTTGAATGCAATCATATTAGATGCACTAATTTCACAATTAAAGTACCTGGAAGCTCTGTTTGTATCAACAATGCAGATTTCTCAGTTTTTTTAACTCTTACCAACTGCATACATTTTCATTGTGTTGTTGTATCTTAATTTATGTAATTAGTTACCAAATAATGAACATTTATTTCATTGACAATATTTTTTTTTTTACTAGCACAAACAATACTACAAGCATCTATGTATGTCTGTCTCAGAGTTCACACATGATTTTTTTTTTTTTTTAAGGCAGGACAAATGAATGTGTGTCTTTTCTGGTTCTGACAACCACAGTCAAATTATTCTTCCAAAATCTGTCAAAATTTACACTTCCACTAAAAGTATATGTTTTCTATTTTTTTCTTTACACGCTCACCAATATTTGATGTCATAAACCTTTACTTTGAACCAATGGCAGGTAAAAAAAATAGTATCTGTATTTTTCTCTGTCATTAACATTTTGAGTAAAGTTTCAGATCTTTGATATTTTCATGACCTACACTTGTCTTTCTTTGTCAGGGAAATTCTCACTGATATCATTTGCCCATTTTTCTATGAGCTCATGGTTTTGTCTTCTGCTTATGGACTTGAATGAGCCCTTAATTATGGAAAGCAGCCGCTGACTGTAAATCTTGTCATACTTTGTTTAGACTTACATTATTTCTTGCAATAAGTTATTTTCACTTTTTATTTAGGCAAATTTACCAGTTTTATTTATGACATTGTCATTTAACATTCTGCTTAGGAGAAGTTTCCTCACTAAAGGATTTTAAATTAGTTCAGCCATGTTTCTTCCCACCGATTTTTGTAGTTTTTCATTTTTTACACTTAAGTCTTTGCTCCATCTGGAATTATTTTAATGCAAGAAGGAAGGAAATTCAGGTTTACTTATAAGCAGGGGAGCAGAATGATCAGAGCCAAGCTTTAGAAATATAAATCTGGCAGCAGCTTATAATTCAGAAGGAGGAAGAAACAGGCAGAAGCAAAGAAACCTGGTAGCTGAGATACTATAGCACCGGGGAATTGAATAGAGAGCTATACCCAGACGCTAAGAAGCAGCGAGGTTTCACAAAGCATGATTCATGGAACACTCGTATTTCACGATGCACCACAGACTGAAAGGGTCTTGTCATCGGAACCACTGGGAAAAGCTGTTTACTCTTCCCTTACTCGGAACTTCCTATGTAGAGTAAAACATTAAACTGCGCAGGCCCAAGAAGTGCATTAATGACAAACAAAAGGAAACAATAAAAACAGTCTGGGACGTCCCTGGTGGTCCACGGGTTAAGAATCCACAATCCAATGTAGAGGACGTGGGTTTGATTCCTGGTTCAGGAACTAAGACCCCACATGTTGCGGG